CCAACACTAAATGGATTGCCAACCAAGGCTCAGAGAGACTCCATTCACCCTCCGCAGGTTTTGAATTCAGAGTTTCCTTCTCCTAGACCAGTTGGCATCGAAGTCTGTCCTGCTATTTACTCATAGCTGGAGGGAGAAGAAGAGTATTAGCACGTAAGTGAATGTAATGGATTCGACTGGAATTCGAACTCGGTTCTCCGATTCCTCAATCCAAGCCGCTATCCATTACTCCACCGTGCCTCCTGTTACGGACTGTTACCGGTCCGCACCCTTTTGGTTTAGTGGGCACTGATGCGAAATTCTCACCCACCTCTCGCCAAATTCCGTTGGGGAGAGTCGTTCCCTTTGACCTTCATTATTAATAATATCATCGATGTTTGTAATTGTTGACGTCATGTTTCTGTTATGGTTTTATTTTTGTTGGGTCTTTTTTTTTTTTTTTTTTCACAATTTTGTACAATCTAGGTCGGACCGGGCATGAAAATCTAAAATCTCGTGTTAATAAACCGACAATGTAAAAAAGATTGGATTCGAAGAAAAAAGAAAAAAAAAAAAAAAAATGAAGCCAAATCTGCTATTTTCTTCCTTACTTGATTCGAGAAGCCATTTTTCGAAGTTATTAAGATTCAACGATCATTTTTTTTTTTCCTTTTTGTTTGTTTGTTTCTTTCTTTCTTTCTTTCTTTTGCGGCGAATGAAGAGATGGTGGAGGGTAATAACCAAGAAGAAGGCGCAATCTCTATGCCGACAAGGAAAAAAAAAAAAACAAATGCAGGGAACTTTTTATTTCATGTTCTCCTGTGCTTTGTTTATCACGTATTTTATTACTGAAAAGAACGAAAACAAAATGTCGGCAACGGTTGGCTGAGACAGAAATAAATGATGATGTTTCTGAAATATCTCCTCCAATTGTTGAAATTAAAAACAAATCCTCCTCATGCTACTACAGTGTAACCCGGATATAAGAGAGTTGTCGGAACCGAAGAAGAAGTCTCTTATATCCGGGTTTCTCTTATATCCGCGTTTGGTCTATTTTATATACATTAACACAGGCTCTAATTTGGGACCAGAGAAAATCTCTCTTATATCCGGGTTTCTCTTATATCCGGGTATCTTATATCCGGGTTACACTGTACTTATAATTTACAACTACTACTATTACTTATGCTACTACTACAACTAATAATAATAATAGCTAGTTTTAAGCCGTCAAAATTTCACGGTTTTCTTATTTTAATATATTGAGGAATCAATTCTTATGTTAATGATTGTGTGTTTTTATGCGAGCTCCAAGACAATAGAATATACATAGAAATTCCGTTATCGCATCGTTAAGTATTTGAACTTAACAACTTTAACAATATATTGCAATAACAATCACAAATATGAATGCTGTTCCTTAAGTGGGTACAAATGAAAAGATTTGAAACTGCTAACTTTTTCCATTTCACTGAAACAGGCGTTAAAGATTTCTATCATTCTTTCTTTCTTTCATTTATTTTGACACTGAAACCAAGTGGTGTCTTTTCCCCCAACATTCCACGAAATCAAATGGAATAGTACATTATTTATTATGTATTGACAGGAGACATTAAACACGTCTTTCTTTCTTTCTTTCTTTCTTTCTTTCTTTCTTTCTTTCTTTCTTTCTTTATTTATTTCTCACTGAAACCAAGTCGTTCCTTTTCCCCCACATTCCACGCAATCAAATGGAATAGTCCATTATTTATGAGGTATTGACAGAAGACTTTTAAACACTTTTCTTTCTTTCTTTCTTTCTTTCTTTCTTTCTTTCTTTCTTTCTTTTTCTCAGTGAAACCAAGTCGTGTCTTTTCCTCAACATTCTACGCAATCAAATTGAATAGTCCATTTTTTTTATCAGGTATTGAGAGGAGACGTTAAACATTTCTTTCTTTCTTTCTTTCTTTCTTTCTTTCTTTCTTTTTTCTTTCTTTCTTTCTTTCTTCCTTTCTTCCTTTCTCTCTCTCTCTCTCTCTTTCTTTCTTTCTTTCTTTCTTCTCAGGGAAACCAAGTCGTGTCTTTTCCACAACATTACACGCAATCAAATGGAATAGTCCATTTTTATGAGCTATTGGAACGAGATGTTAAACATTTCTAACTTCAATTTTTTCTTTCTTTTTTTCTTTCTTTCTTTCTTTCTTTCTTTCTTTCTTTCTTAAATTATTCTTTTGAGAGCTGTTTTATATTTCATATTTTTGACTCCATTTAATTCTAAACAAAATTTACAAAAGTATTTTCAAATCATCAAGATATTATATTCTCAGCGATATTTTTAATAAACACGGAATATAACTTTTTTTCTTCGCCTTTAATTCTTAAATACTATTTTTTTTTAAATTTTCTTTCTTATTATTTCATTCTTTTTCTTTTCTTTTCGCATACTTTTTTTTTCTTTTTCTAGAATTTATTTTATTTATTTTATTTATTTTTGTAGTTGTTTTTTTGGTTTTTTTTTTTCAAGGTCAGTTTCCTTCTTTTTCTTTCTTCGTTCTCTTTCTCTCTTTTTCTTTCCCTTTATTTTTTTTTTTCCCCTCTTTCTGCTTTTTTTTTCACTTTAATTTCTTCGAAATGTTTCATCACATTATTTTCCTTTTCTTTCATCTTTACAATATTTTCATTTTGTCCCTCAGTCTTTTCTTCTCCCTTTTCTTCTCTCTCTCTCTCTCTCTCTCTATATATATATATATATATATATATATATATATATATATATATATATATATATATATATATATATATATAAAGAAAGAAAGAACAGTAAGATATATAATCCGGTGTTCCTATAGATATTTTATTTTTACAAAATAGTGCTCGATGTAAATTTACAGAGCATTAATATTATAAATTAATTGATTTAAAATTTGAAACATGGTTAGAACTGTGTAGCGGAAAAAACATATTTTAAATCAATTAATTTATTTATAATATATATATATATATATATATATATATATATATATATATATATATATGCATGAGCTTTTTATTTAATTGACAAACTGGACAAAGAGTGTGACAGAACTGTCTGAATGTTCTGTGTTTGAGAGTTGGCTTTTTAGCCATTTAGGGATGGTTTTTCTTACACACTCATTGTCCAGAAAAGAAAGCTTTCAGAACTGGACAAAATTAAATAAAAACTGTCCTGTAGAATTTTGTCTGTCGTTTTTAATGAAACATGCATAAAGGAAGGATTACTTTAAATATATATATATATATATATATATATATATATATATATATATATATATATATATATATATATATATTATTTTTTAAACAAAAAAATAGAAAAAATTAAAATCTTCAGACATTGTAGGTTGTAGATTAATATTCTTTCGTTTTTTTTTTATTATTATTTCATTTAGATTCCTCGCAGTTTCGGCCAAAATGGCCATCATCAGGAGAAGAAATATTTCTGCTTGCTTGAAAGAAATGAAAATATATAAGAAATATATATATATATATATATATATATATATATAAAGTTGTATTTCTGTCTGTCCTCCTTGGGTTTTGGACATAGACCCCATAACCAAATATTCTGAAACTAATTAGAAACTTGAAAAGTTTAATTTTAATCAGAGGCGGTCCCGCGGGACAGAAATGCTGATTTTTTTTCCTTTTGATAAAATTAAAAAAGAAACAAAAGAAGTCCTTTCTTCTCGCTATCCTTTAAAGGAGTTCCTGCAGTTTCCTTTATGCGTCTATTATCAACACTGAAAAGAATTCATTAAAGAAAAAAAGTCGAAAAAAGAAAGGCAAACGAAAGAAATAATTGATGGGAATTAAGTTGGCGTTTTTATACCATGGTCATGAGTCAAAAAAAATGGATAAAGAAAAGAAAAAAACAAATGAAAGAAAGATAATGGATTAATATAATAAGAAGCTCAGAAAGAAATGCTGTTAGCAAAAATATAGTGAAAGATGGCGGAGAACATGGCGGATAAATGAAAGGCGGGAGAATTTTTACGAACGGAAAGGAAGTATTTTCAAAATAATGAAAACGTGAAGAAGGAAAGAAAATAAAGAAGAATAGAAAGAAAGGTCATTAATCGTTCAGGGATTAAGAGCGAAAAATAAAGAAAGAAATATTGAAAAGAAAATAATGAAAAGGAAACAGCAAGAAAGAAATGTTTAAATCAAATGAAAACAGACGGAAGAAAAAAAGAGAAGAAAGAAGAAAGGGAAAAATTAATAGTGAAGAAAGAAAGAAAGAAAGAAAGAAAGAAAGAAAGAAATTCACTGAAGCAGTATGGCATAAGAAAGAGAAGAAAGAAAGAAAGAAAGAAAGGATTAAATAAGGCAAAATGACATAAGAAAGAAAAGAAGAAAAGAATGAAAGAAAGAAGGAAAGAAGGAAAGAAAGAAAGAAAGAAGGAAATTCACTGAAGCAGTATGGCATAAGAAAGAGAAGAAGAAAGAAAGAAAGAAAGTATTAAATAAAGCAATATGGCATAAGAAAGAAAAGAAGGAAAGAATGAAGGAAAGAACCAAAGAAAGAAAGAAAGAATGAAGGAAAGAAAGAAAAAAGAAAAGAAAAGAAAAAAAGAAAGGAAATAAAAGTAGTAAAAAAGAAAGAAAAAAAAGAAAGAAAGAAAGGATTAAATAAAGCAATATGGCATGAGAAAGAAAAGAAAAAGAAAGAAAGAAAGAAAGAAAGGATTAAATAAAGTAGTATGCCATAAGAAAGAAAAGAAAAGAAAGAAAGAAAGAAAACTGAAAGAAAGGATTAAAGAAAGAAAGAAAGAAAGAAAGAAAGAAAGAATTAAAAAAGGAAAGAAAGAAAAGAAAGAAAGAAAGAAAAAATTAAATAAAGCAATATGGCATAAGAAAGAAAAAGAAGAAAGAAAAGAAAGAATTAAAGAAAGCAAAGAAAGAATGAAGGAAAGAAAGAAAGAAAAAAGAAAAGAAAGAAAGAAAGAAATTAAATAAAATAAAGAAAGAAAAAGAAAAAGAAAGAAAGAAAGAAAAAGAAAGGATTAAATAAAGTAGTATGGCATGAGAAAGAAAGAAAGAAAGAAAGAAATAAAGAAAGAAAGGATTAAATAAAGCATAAAAATGGAAAAGAAAGAAAGAAAAAAGAAAGAGAAAAAAAAAGAAAAAAGAAAGAAAGAAAGGATTAAATAAAAGTATGGCATGAGAAAGAAAAAGAAAGAAAGAAAGAAAGTATTAAATAAAGAAAGAAAGAAAGAAAAAAATGAAAGAAACTGAAGGAAAGAAAGAAAGAAATTCACTGAAGCAGTATGGCATAAGAAAGAGAAGAAGAAAGAAAGAAAGAAAGTATTAAATAAAGCAATATGGCATAAGAAAGAAAAGAAGGAAAGAAAGAAAGAAAGAAATTCACTGAAAGTAAAAGAAAGAAAGAAAGAAAGAAAGAAAGAAAGGAAGAAAGAAAAAAGAAAGAAAGAAAGAAAGGAAGGATTAAATAAAGTAGTATGCCATAAGAAAGAAAAGAAAAGAAAGAAAGAAAGAAAGGATTAAATAAAGCAATATGGCATGAGAAAGAAAAAGAAAGAAAGAAAGAAATAAAGAAAGAAAGGATTAAATAAAGTAGTATGCCATAAGAAAGAAAAGAAAAGAAAGAAAGAAAGAAAGAAATTCACTGAAGCAGTATGGCATAAGAAAGAGAAGAAGAAAGAAAGAAAGAAGTATTAAATAAAGCAATATGGCATAAGAAAGAAAAGAATGAAAGAATGAAGGAAGAACGAAAGAAAGAAAGAAAGAAAGAAAGAAAGTAAAAAGAAAGAAAAGAAGAAAGAAAGAAAGAAAGAAAGAAAGAAAAAATAAAGGAAGAAAGAAAAAGAAAGAAAGAAAGAAGAAAGAAAGGAAGGATTAAATAAAATACAAATAAATAAGAAAAGAAAATAAAAGAAAGAAAGAAAGGAAAATAAAAAATATGGTAAAAAAAGAAAGAAAGAAAGAAAGAAAGAAAGGATTAAATAAAAAACAGGATAAGAAAGAAAAGAAAGAAAAAAGAAAGAAAGACTGAAGCAAAATGAAAGCAGGAAAGAAAGAAAGAAAGAAAGGATTAAAGAAGGCAAAAATAAGAAAGAAAAGAAGAGAATGAAAGAAAGAAGGAAAGAAAGAAAGAAAAAAGAAAGAATGAAATGAACAGTAGGAAAAGAGAAGAAGAAAGAAAAGAAAGAAATAAAGCAAAACATAAGAACGAAGGAAAGAAGGAAAGAAAGAAAACAGGAATAATGGCACAAAAAAGAAAGAAAGGAAATATGGTTGACGGAAACCAGGACTACTGAAAAACAAAATAACAAATAAATGAAGAATACGATAGAAAATAAAACGTAAAAAAAAGAAAGAATGAAAGAACGAATGAAATGAAAACAGGATCAGTAAAGAAAGAAAGAAACAAAGAAAGAATAAAATGAAAGCAGGAATAGTAAAGAAAGAAAGAAAGAAAGAAAGAATGAAAGAACGGATAAAATGAAAATAGATATAGCAAAGAAAGAAAAAAGAATGAATGAAATGAACACAGGAATAGTAAAGAAAGAAAGAAAGAAATAAAAATAGGAATATTAAAGAAAAAAAAAGAATGAAATGAAAACAAGAATAGTAAAGAAAGAAAGAAAGAAAGAAAGAACAAATGAAAAGGAAACAGGAAAAGAAAAGATAGAAAAATAATAGAAAGAGAGAATGAAAGAACAAGCAAACACTGAGTCCAAGAGAAATGATTGAAGAACACAATGAAATGTGAAATGAAAATGCGAATTGTATAAAAAAGAAAGAATGTATAAATGAAGAAGACAATGAAAATAAAACAATAAAAGCAAAGAAAGAAAAAAGAAAGAAAGAAAAAAAGAAAGAAAGAAAATATGAAATGGCAAAGAAAGAAAAATGGAAGAAAGAAAGATTAAATGTAATACCAACAGGCAGAGTGAAGAAATAAAGAAACAAAACTGATTGAAAAAGTGAAGCAAATGAAACCAGAAATAATGAAAAAAGAAGTAAATGAAGAAAACAAAGAAGTTAAAAGTTAAGAGCGAAGAGGAAAAAAGGAAGAAAGAAACAAACAAACAATGATAGAATAAATAGTAATGAAAGAAACGGGCAAAAAAAGAAAAAAGGAATGAACAAAAAGAACAAGGAAATGAAACGAGAAATGATGGAAAAAGAACAATAGAAAGAAAGAAAGAATGTTAGAAAGGAATGGTAAAGAAAAAAGAAAGAGGCAAATAAATATGAATTGAAAGAAAGAATAAACGAATGAAAAAAAAACAATGAAATAAAAACAGAAATGGTGGGGAAAGAAAGAAAGAAAGGAACAATGATGGAAAGAAAGAAAGAATGATGGAAAGGAATAGATAAGAAAGAAGGAATAGTAAAGAAAGAAAGAAAGAAAGAAAGCCGGTGGATCTGTAGAAAGAAAGAAAGAAAGTTAGAAAGAAAGAAACGTAGTGAATAATTAGAAAGAAAGAAAGAAAGAAAGAAAGAAAGAAAAGAAAGAAAGAAAGAAAGAAAGAAATAATTGAAAGAAAGAAAGAAAGAAAGAAAGAAACGTAGTGAATAATTGAAAGAAAGAAAGAAAGAAAAGAAAGAAAGAAAGAAAGAAAGAAAGAAAGAAAGTAGTGAATAATTAGGAAAGAAAGAAAGAAAGAAAGAAAGAAAGAAAGAAAGAAAGAAAGAAAGAAAGGTAGTGAATAATTAGAAAGAAAGAAAGAAAGAAAGAAAGAAAGAAAGAAAGAAAGCCGGTGGATCTGTAGAAGAAAAAAAAGAAAGAAAGAAAGAAGCAAGCAAAGAAGAGTGGAAAGAACGAATATGCGAATGAACAAAGAAAACAAGGAAATGAAAGCAGAAATGATGGAAAAAGAAAGAAAGAAAGAAAGAAAAAGAAAAGGAAAGAAGAAATATTTAAAATAAAAACAGTGAAACAAAAGCAGAAATCGTAAAGAAAGACCGAAAAGGCAAAGAAAACAGTGAAATGGCCACAAAAAAAGTGAAGAAAGAAAGAAAAAACAAAACAAAAAAACAAAAAGGAAAGAATGAATGAAAAACATACAGAAATAACAAATAAAGCAAAAGTTAAAGAAAGATTTTTTTTTTTCGAAATAGTGAAAATTGGATCGTGAATAAATAAAAGTCGAGTTTAAACAAAGCCCAAAAGCCATAAGAAGAAAAATAACGTGAAAATCTCGCCATAGAAACTTAAATTTATTAAAGCGGGAATATTTAAACATTCACTTCCTGCAGGGAGAAAAGCAGTTTCGTTTCAATTTGCCAAGGGAGATAAGCGCAGTAAAAAATAAATCTCAAACTATTCAATAATTTTTTTATTAGCTCATCTGTGTCGTGTAAAGCTCATCAGGAGTGTTTCGACATTCAAAATTAATTTATTTTTAACTCCACCCTCTTTTCTCTCTTTCTCTCTATCTATCTATCTCTATCTCTCTCTTTCTCTCTCTCTCTCCTTGTCATTTTTCTCTTCACCCCTCCTCGTCCTGTGTTTCATTTTCTCTTTCTCTATATATCATCTATCCACCTTTCTTTTTTTTTTTTTTTCTCTCTTTCATTCAAATGAATTTGTATTTCTCTGCTCCCTCTGGCGTTGGACTGGGGGACAAAAAAAAACTGATTACCGTCACGTGACCCTCTTTATTTCTAAATTTATTATGATTTTTTGGGAGTCAATCGAGTATTTTTTTTTTTTTTTTTTTTGAGTTCCATGAATTTTTCCTATTTTTTTTTTTTTAATCTCGGTTGTGTCACTGTTTCTTTAATTTTCTCTTTCCAACTTAATTCCCAAACCATTTTTATCTCTTTTCCTTCTTTTCTTCACCGCGTGTTTTCAGAAAATGGGCAGTCAAGGCTCTCCCCATCTTCTATTACTTTGCAACTCTCAGCAATATTTGTCTTATTCAGCTACACACCCGTCCTGGGTATGACGATAAGCTACATCCGCGTCCTGGGTAAGATGATAAACTACGTCCAGCAGCAAGGCCTCTGATCAGGAGGCTTTGAGCAGCGTGGAATCACCTCTTAATTGCTTGTGTTCCCAGGTCCACCCTGACCCGGGGTGGTAGCACCTGTTAGGGTCCCAGCTACAAGCAAATAATTAACCCGCAAACTGGGGTCAAAACACCATGAAAAATGTAAAAATAGGTTTTAATAACTGAGATACTTTGTCAAAAATTATCACCAGCAATAAATTTTTGGAAAAAAAATATTACCAGTGATACATTTTGGAGAAAAAATATTACCAAAAATAGATTTTTGTCGGAAAAAATATATGCAGCAATACATTTTTGAAAAAAAAAAAATTAACAGCAATAAAAAAATTTGTCGGTGTTAAATAACCCATTGAGGTTGATATACCGTAAAACAAAACAAACCAAAACAAAACCTATTACACACGCACTCAATCCTCTGCTATCCATTTATACAAGGTACGATCATCGAAATTAAACAACGTCGAACCTGGTCAGTAACTAGATGGGTGACCGCCTGGGAATAACGGGTGCTGCACGAGTGTATCTGCGGGCCATGTAATAGATTATTGTTAATCTGAGGGCCGAGTTCGAATTCTGGTTGGGTTTGTCATATTTAATTACACTTGGGAAAGCTATGAATACGCCTCTTCTTCCACAGCTATCATTTTTTTGTGATGTTGGACAGCTTCGCTTGCACTTATGCTTATGTCAAGCGAAAGCTTGTTATCATTTCCAAAAATTCTCGTTATATTCGAGACTTTGTAGACGCCGGTAGTAGTAGTAACGCCTTCCAATAATATCAGCACTAGTAATACTTGTCCAAGTAGTAATCGCCAAATAGTATAATGATCACAATAGAATCGTAATCCGTATAGTAGTAAAGCTAGTGAACGTATAGCAATAGTGGATAGACAAGAAGAGTGAACATTCATCACGATTCTTCAAATTTATTCACTTCTTTTATGATCACGTGATCTACTTAATAATATAATCGCGCGTGTTACTTATTGGAGATCTAGTTTCAAACCACAGTGTCGGCAAGGACACTTACTCTTACACAGTAGGGTTAATTAGTAAGTCTTTTGTCTCTAAATCATTATTATCGCCAAGAAACATTCTGACACTGTAAAAATATATTCTCGATTTAAATAACTTGCAAAAGGTGGACCAGCTTTAAATAAAAAAAAAAATGAATAAATTAACAATGAACGAACCATTTACACAAGTTCTATAGTCAGGTTACTCGCTGTTTCCTAATTTTTCTTTTTAATCATTTCGCTTCAATCAAGGCAATAAAGCCGCTCCGACGGAAGAGGTGTTAGAAACTATGAGAAAAAACTGCTGTTAAGGAGAGTGGACAATAGAAGAATAAGAATTAAGAAGGCAGAAGAGAGCGATTGACGCTGAATTTAATTTTTTGAAGATCGAAGATGACTGGGAAGCAAGAAGCCGGGAGAGAGTTGGAGGTCCCATAGAAGAAACTGTTAGCATAGAACTTACGGTTGCATTTAGCCATTTCAACTGTAAAATGACAAGATCTTGCCGTCAATATATAAATTCTTAAATTCTGGGTACCATAGAGGAACGTTCATAAAAAAAAACTTACCATAAAAATGTTTATAGAAAAGATACAAGGAATCTACGTTACAGTAGTTGGAAAAGGGACTGAAGCCGAGATGTCATGTCAGGACCAATAACATTGCAGATTTTTTTTTTTAGCTTTTATCAAGAATCTCTAAATATATAGCTGACGCGTTTTTTTTGTTTGTTTTTTTTGTTTTTTTTTTTTGGTGGGGGTTTAACGGCATATCAACTCCTTATGATCATTTAATGGTGGAATTTAATTTTCTTTGAAGCTTGAAATAATAAAAATATGATGTATGTTATTCTGCTTTCACACTTGAATATATGGTAGATGAAACTCAGCTTTTTTTTTTTTTTTTTTTTTTTGCATACACATGTTTCTGACAACATAATTACCACAAGCGGGGTTGTGTGTTTTAAGTTGCAATATTGTTGAAGTTATATTTTTGAAAATATTAGGTTGGTGCAAAAATAATGACGTAATAATGTCGTTTTTTAACGTATTTTTAAATGTCCAAAAACGTCATTATTACGTCATTATTTTTGCACCAACCTAATACAAATTGATTCCTTTAAGAAATTGTAGAATATTACATGGATTAATGTCATGAAAGAGGTCTTTCGTATTGGTTGATTTTGTTTAGTGACATATCGACCTATTTAGTGCTGAAATCTAAATATTTTGAATTTCATTTGCATGCTTTCAACTACAGATAAAATGCTTGCTATTTTTTTTATAAAATGTATAGTTGGTCATTTTACTCTATGTACTGTTGGTCATCTTTTTCGTTGTGACCAAGTAAATGGTTAAATAAATAACAAAACAAGTGTTACAGATATATCATATATTAAACAGTAAGTACAACAGAAGAGTATTACACGACTAGTGAGTGTGTGTCGGTTGATCCAGCGTTCAATTTATACGACTGTTAATATTTAACAGCTCCCACCACCACCACGAGCGATATATGTGGCACAAAGCCGAGTTTAACGTGGGTCATCCGAGCCCGTAGGCTCGGCCAAAAAATCCCCGTAGAACCAGCGTAAACGGATTCGGGTCTGTCTACCTCTCCGGACGAGACTCTGCCCTTCGGCCCAGCATCGTCCAGGTTCCTCTCTACCCAAAGGCGGAGAGTTAGACAGCAGCTGCGAAAAGTCACAGCCTCGGTAGAACAATCTATGCGACTGTTAATATTTAACAGCACCCAACGAGAGATGTATCTGGCACCAAAAGGCCGGGTTTACCGTGGGTTCTCCGAGTCCGTAGACTAGGCCAAATATATTCCATTTAATCCCGCATAAACGGGTTCAGGGCCTGTTTACCTCACCGGACGAAACTTTGCCCTTCGCAAAGCCTCGTCTGGGTTCATTTCTGCTCAAAGCAGAGAGTTCGACAGTAATGAACAATCTATGCGACTGTTATCTTTAACAGTTCCCCTGACAAGGGATGTATGTAGCACAAGGCCTAGTTTAACGTAGGTTTCTCCGAGCCCGTAGGCTAGGCCAAAAATATTTCCTTTGAACCTGCCTAGACGGGTTCAGGGACTGTCTACCTCCCCGGACAAAACTTTGCCCGGCGGCAAAGCTTCGTCCAAGTTCCTCTCTGCCTAGGCAGAGGGTTAGACAATTGAACAATCTATGCATCTGTTATATTTAACAGTCCCCCTCACAAGGAATTATGTGGCACAAGGCCGTGTTTAACGTGGGTTTCTCCGAGCTCGTAGGCTCGGCGAAAAATATTCCGTTTGAACCTGCTTAGACGGGTCCAGGGACTGTCTACCTCCCCGGACAAAACTTGGCCGGGCGGCAAAGCCTCGTCCGAGTTCCTCTCTGTCGAGACAGAGAGTTCGACAGATGAAAAATCTGTACGTCTGTTCCCCCAAGGTCTTCTCTTCTTCTAATCTTATAGTGAGCGGAAGAGTCTAACATAGACTCTTTAGAGGGAGGATACCACAACATTTTTAAATATAGAAAATATATTGCTGGTATTTTTACTATAAAATTGTATTTTAAACGTTCATATTGTTTATATTTTGGAGGGAAACCCATTTTCACATAGCTGCAACCCTACCACATGCTACCAGCCCGGGTGGGAACAACAGCAATTAAGAGGTTGTTCCACGCTCCTCAAGACCTCCAATCTCCTGTTCACAGTTCTTGCTGCCGGATGTATTTTATCGTCATACCCCGGACTACATAGCCGATGCACCAGACTAGATGTGACGGTTATATTCTATGTATGGACGACACAGCGTCAACGTTGTATTATCTGCATATCTTCTGTTGTTAAAATTCAACCTCCAATAATAGACTCTATTTCTAATTCTCTTAGGACCGCCTAGCTGTACAGGTTAAATAAATCTGTGAGAATACGCATTACACACCATTCTATTTTTGTGTATTTGCTCAAGAATACAAATGAGAGAATCTGTCACGTTGCTAGAGTTACATTAAAACCAGGAATCTTAAATTACCAACAGACGGAAAAAAAAAAACATTAAAAATAAAATATTGTCATATAAAACTTGATAAACGACTTAGCTGTAATATAATTTTCCATTTTTTTCAAAGTCTGCCCACATCATGGCGAGGGTAGGTCCTGAGATTTTACTAATTCTGCTACGCTTCCAGTAGCAAAATAATTTTTTTTTACTAGAAGTATCCAAAGAGTTAGCCGAATTTTCAGCACATCTATAAAATATTGTTATTAAAGCAATGTTTCATGAAAATAAAACTGCCCAAGACTACTGGCTGCTACAGTTCTCGTCTTATTCTCGTCTTGTTCTCGTCTTGTTCTCGTCTTGACGGGAGTTTCTGAGATGCAGACATGAATAAACATTTTGGTGATTTTATCTGTCTTATGCCAATAAATGATCAAAACCATATATTTACACCCTTGATCAAAATAATTGGAACAAAACGAAGAATACTGTTATTATTTCCTTTTTTCATGCTTTTTTCTATGAAATCTGACCCAGTGCAAATGTTTGTACTTTGTAAAGACTTTCCAAGCGTAGCTTAGATGTGGCACAAGGCCGAAAGCAAGGAGCATCCAGTGAGGATCGAACTCACTTTTCAATAGTAACTGATCTAGCAAGACAAGCTTGCTAACCATTACACCACGTCTAGGTGCCCATGTTTGTACTTTGTATGTCAATTCCACGAAGTCTTTCCTTGCAGATTGACCACAGATTCTCGATTGGATTTAAATCAGGAGAGTTTCAAAGCCAGTCGATAGTTTGATTTGCTCACTGGTAAGGCGTGTCGTTGTGTTTGTGCATCGTTACAATTTTCGTACGCTTCCTTGGAGTAACGCCCATGATAGACACTGGCCGTCGGAAAACTAATCGACAGTCGAGACAATAGTGCTTGGGCGTGATGAAAATCTGATGCAATCAGGGATGACGCAGTATTTTTCAAGGCCAAACAAATATCACTATACTCTCCGAAAATAGATACATATTACCGCACACCACTGCAAATGACCTAATCTGAGGAAAAATAAAAATCGATAGCATCTTGTCATTCCAGTGGGGCTATGTTGATACATGTTTTTATTGTTAATCCTGTCTAACCTTTCGGCTTACATAAACCTACATCATAGATCATAGCAACAAATTAAATAATAAATTTAATAGCAAAGATGGTAAACTTTGTTTTAGATTGCTTATGCGGACATTACCACAATGATAGTTTGTTTTGTTTACATGGAAAATAGCTATGCAACGACAAATTCGTGCATAAGTAACGCAGGAAGCAAATATCGCATTGCGGTTCATGACATCACACATGACCACGTTTGAGTGAACATGAAAACAGTGTTAAGTATGAAAAGCTGTTGGTATAAACAAATAGCTCTTGCTATCAGCTATAAGCATTTAAGTATATTTGTGGAGTTTTCATAACTTATTTTGTTCATATTAGGTTTGAACAGTTTTATGTAAATAAAGTCAAGAATTTTTAGTTTTTGTTTATTGTTTTCATGGTTAAGTATAGTTGTATTCTCAATATATATAATTATTTTTTAAAAAAATATGATTCCTTCGCTACATAAGAGTTCTCATGTTTCAAAAACAAGAGCCAAAAACTTAAATATAATTATTAAAATTAAATTGAATTAAAGTATCAAGCTCTGTTTCATCCCCAAGCGAAATTTTGGGAATAACTAATCTTGAAATTTACGCATCTTTATAAGCATGTTCATTCGTAAACTATGGAAACGGCTGAAGCAATTATTTCAATACGGGGCGTGAGTGTTGAAAATTTGTATCAACATCCAATTACTTTCGGAAAGAGGTCAAGTCCTGTTAGTGTCAGGCTGTCTATTTTAAAGCAAATGATGACATTCATTATACGTATATCGTCTTGTCTGTTTCAGCGACAGAGAGTTTTTGGCATTATTGTTACGCTGTTAAATGTCTAAAGATTTTTTTCTAAAAGGGTTGTTTGTATATAAATGCGTCGTATTAAACTACAATTCTTTTTTTGACGGCTTCATAAAGGGTTTATTTTTATCTTATGGTTGGTTTAAGCTTTTAAACCTTTTATTAGACTATGACATTTTAATATATATATATATATATATATATATATATATATATAGAGAGAGAGAGAGAGAGATAGATAGATAGATAGATAGATAGATAGATAGATAGATAGATAAACCTAGTGAGCCTACCCAGGTTTGAATTAGGTCTAATCGTCCCGTTTGTACTGTCTTTCCACCTTTATTGTTCGTGTTAATATCCCCTCCCCTTTTAGTCGTTGAATAAATCTTTACCTCCCCCCCTGCCGGTGTTCTTGTGTTTTTTCTTGTTTTTCTTTTTCTTTGGTCACGTGGTTGATTTTGATTATCGCCTATAAATAGGCTCTTTCTCTTTTGCCTCTTTAACCAGCTTTCCCTGACGATCCGCTTAGGTGAAACCTAGGTAGGTTTGTCTGACTCACTAGGTGTATCTAGGTCTGTATCTACGGTTGTATTGAGCTCTTTTGTTAGTTAGTTGTTTACTCGTATCGGGGTTTTTTTTTCTTTGGGCTTCAGACCTGCATCTGTGCGATTTTTTGTCGACAGAAGTTCATGTTTGTAGCTCTTTCTTTTTTTAAAAAATTTTTTCCCTCGAGATTGATTTGATTACTGGCAAATCAAAAATTCAAGAGTTTTTCGAAACGAGTATAGTTACTATATATATATATATATATATATATATATATATATATATATATATATATATATATTTGAATAAAAGACAGACCACGTTAAGATTCCATGTAATAAGCTATTTCACCATAACCCCTTTAACAGGGTTCTAGATCATCAGACTTTACTTCCAAAAGCTAAAATGAAAAATGAAAAGAAATTCACACGTTTTTTACGGACCTCATCAAGTATACGCAAAGTTAACGAAGTGAGGAAGTGAGGTGGGAGATAGGATATGAGTGTGTCATACATATATATATATATATATTGAGAAACAGTCGTTAGATTCGATGTGCATTTATAATTTATATATAATAAAAATGTACTTTTAAGGTATGATATATTTATGGGGTTAAAAGATTCATTATCAGAGATGGAGTGTATGTAAATAGAAAAGCAAAACAAATGAATAGCGCCTTATAGACGGAAATATTTCTCAGACACTCAAAACATTCATATCTGCTCAGTTTCGTATCCTTACGTAAAGAAAACAGTTTCGTATCCTAACGTAATCAATGAAAAATACATCTATATATATATATATATATATATATATATATATATATATATATATGTGTGTGTGTGTGTGTGTGTGTGTGTGTGTGTGTGTGTGTGTGTGTGTGTTGTATACGTATGGACGAAAATGGTTATGTTCCTATTCACATAAATACAATAGTAAATACTGTATGTTGGTCTGCAGTTGGAGATTCGTCTCCAGCTGTGATGGTCAAACTCTCTGCCTCTGGGCAGAGAGGATCCCCAGACGAGGCTAGGTCAAACGGCAGAGTCTCGTCTCGGAAAACAGCTACCCGACTCCGTTTTATATGGGGTCTACGGAAAATTTTTGGTCGAGCCTAAAGGCTTGGATACCCGACATCAATTTCGGGCTTGTGACACATCTGACCGCGTGGAGAGAGATATCCTACAGTTGGATATTCGTCTCCAGCTGCGCTGCTCATACTCTCTGCCTCCGGACAGAGAGGATCCCCTGACGAGGCTATATCGAAAGGCGGAGTCTCGTCTCGGGAAACAGCTACCCGACCTCGTTTTATACGGGGTCTACGTGGAATTTTTGAACGAACCTACGGGCTCGAATACCCCACATTAAATTCGGCCTTGTGCCACATCTGACTGCATAGGGCTGTTGGTAGATATTCTGAAGTTGGTTATTCCTTGTGGAATTCACTTGACTCCTTTCTATCAGTTGACTACGTCTTCGCGCCACTGGCGAATCCTATATGTGTTGTTCTTGTCCTAAGTATTATCGTTCATTACCAACCTTTGTTTGATTATTTTATTCAGTAACCTTCTCTAGGTTACAACAATATATATATGACAAAGTTAGGTTGTTTTATAAATCCCTCGCAGGTAAAAATATATGAGAAAAGGACGTTGAAAATGCAACTAGATTCTTTAAGAATACTTATTTAGAGTAACTTTACCCGCTTAACAGTGCTCTGGTTTTCAAAAGTTAAAGTGAAATGGAGAGACTATGCCATGATCTGTTTCGTATCACCAGATGATTACCAGATGCGAAACAGCCACACGTCTCTCCAACTCAATTTAACTTATGAAAATCAAAGAATTGCACAGATATATATGAGTGGGCCGGTATATGTGAACATGTATGTAAAAGTATACAATAAAAAGGCTCTAATATATGCACATACCTTGGAAGGTGGTTGTGTATGTATGTAGAAATATATATATATATATATATATATATATATATATATATATAGATAGATAGATAGATAATAAAAACAACCACATGTTTCAGTGGATTAATTTAAAATCCAACAACACCAAACCCCCTCTAATATAGATAAAACAACGAAAGAGGCGGACATGCACTCTCTTGAATCTAGACTTTGGAGGTGATAAGGTAATCTAATTTAATTTAATGTATGGTTATTACTTATCCCAAAAGATCCCAAGGCATTTTCTCTCACATACAATTTTGTTTTTTCTTTCATTCTAACCTGAGGAAGCCAAAGGTAGTAGACCCTCTGGCGAAACGCTTTGTTAATATATTTTCCATTTTGTCTCATCTTCTTCATATGAATAATATGGACAGGGTAAATGTCTCGCGCCATAGTGATATTTTTTTTAAAAGTATAATTACACTTGAAAATTTGTTTCACTACTTATTTAATTGTTATATATGCTGTTCAAAATGTCCTTCTTTTTCAAAGCACATTTTAATTGTGTGCCTGTATGTTTGATTATCATAATCCTTTCATATTCACGAATATTTTTTCCGTATATAGCAATTAGATAAGGCACAATGACACTGAGAATCAATTTTATTTCCCAAGTATTTTCCATCTCTTTCTAAGATTATCATCAGGCGTACAACTGGTAAGGCAAAAACTATGTGTAGTTATCTATTAATATTATTATTATTATTATTATTATTATTATTATTATTATTATTCAGTAATGGATAACTGTGTCAGTTTCTTTCATGCATGGACGAAATTTTTAGGCCATCATGACTAGATTTCTCGAATATTCCGTCCGGTAGATGTAAATAAATAAATATGCTGTTTAATAATAAAAAACAAATCAAGTACTCAAATATGAGTATCCATTAAAAATATGGCTTAAACATATATATATATATATATATATATATATAT